ACAGCATCCAGGGAACAAATGTGTCCAGCTGCATTCCAACTCCTGAAAGATATATTGCTTGAGAACAGAAGCTTTGCCTTGTGTTTCATATCTTAGTGATCTGCTTTGGCTTGTGTTTCATATCTTAGTGATCAAGCTGAGGTACTACTATTTGAAAGCATTCAGAGCAAGCAGCATAAAACAGAGGTCAGGGTTTGAAAAGTTAGCAGACAAACAGTGCTTGATAATCTACTCGATAACTGCAAATAAACATACAGTCATAGCCAAAAATATTGGCACCCCTGCATTTATGTCACATAATGCACCACTTCGCCCAGGAAATTGTTGTAATTACAACTGTTTAGGCATTTTCATGTTTACTTCTTTTGTTTGTATTGGTATGACACAAAAGAGTGGAGAAACAAAAAGCCAAATTTGACACATTCCACATAAAACCCCAAAAATGGGCTGGACAAAATTATTGGCACCCTCAATTTAATATTTGGTAAAACACTCCTTGTTAAAAATGCTGAAAGCCATTACTTCCTGTAACCATCAATGAGTTTCTTACACCTTTTTTACTGAATATTTTGGAGCACTCTTCTTTCGCCAACTGCTCCAGGTCTCTGATTGGAAGGGTTCCTTTTCCCAACTGCTGTTTTGAGATTTCTCAACAGGTGCTCTATGGGATTGAGATCTGGACTCATTGCTGGCCAGTTCAGTACTCTCCAGCGCTTTGTCCAAAACCACTTCTGGGTGCTTTTTGATGTGTGCTTTGGGTCATTGTCCTGCTGTAAGATCCATGACCTCTGACGGAGACCCAACTTTCTGACACTGGGCTCTACATTGCACCCCAGAATTCTTTGGTAGTCTTCAGATTTCATAATGCCATGCACACGGTCAAGACATCCAGTGCCTGAAGCAACAAAGCAACCCCAAAACATCAGTGCACCTCCACCATGTTTGACTGTAGGGACTGTATTCTTTTCTTTAAAGGCCTCATTTCTTTTTCTGACAACAGTAGAATGATTAGTTTTACCAAAAAGCTGTAATTTTGTTTCCTCTGTCCACAGCACATTCTCCCAAAAGGATTTTGTCTTTCTCAGGCAAATTTTGGCAAACTCCAATCTGGCTTTTTTATGTTTCTGTGTCAGCAGTGGGGTCCTCCTGGGTCTCCTAACATAGCATCCTTTTCATTCAGATGGCAACATATAGTGCAAGGTGAAACAGTTGTACCCTGTGCCTGTATTTCAGCTTGAATTTGGAAGTTGATCGAGGTTCTATATCCACCATTCGAAAAATCCTTTGTTGCAATCTGCGATCAATTTTTCTCTTTCGTCCACATCCAGGGAGATTAGCTACAGTGCCATGGGCTTTAAACGTCTTGACAATGTTGCGCACAGTGGACACAGGAACATTAAGATTTCTGGAGATGCACTTGTAACCTTGAGATTGTCCACAATTTCCACAATTTTTGTTCTCAAAACCTCACACAATTCTTTGCTGCTCTTTCTCTTCTCTATGTTCCATGTGGCACACAGAGACACACAACAGTAAGGTTGAGTCAGTTTTTCACCATTTTAATGTGATTTCTATATTGTCAGCACCTGTTAATTGATACAGGTGAGTTTTATTACAAAGTACAGGAGCATCACAAGCTTGGAATGCAATTATTTCTTACAATTTTGAATATGTGCCAATCATTTCGTCCAGTTTATTTTTGGGGTTTTGCATGGAATGTGTCAGATTTGGCTTTTTGTCTCTGTCCACTTTTTTGTGTCATACCAATACAAACAAAAGAAATAAACATGAGAATGCCAAAACATTTGTAATTGCAACAACTTTCAGGGGGGAATGGTGCATTATCTGACAGAAATGAAGGGGTGCCAACATTTTTGGCCATGAATATATAATATATAGAAACAGTGAATATTAGGATACAAGGCAGGATGGATGAAGATCCAGCAATACAAATAAAAATCAAAGTCCAGGAAAAAGCTGATGGGTATCAATAATCTAAAGCTAGATATAATATTATTATTATTATACAGTATTTACAGTCATGGCCGAAATTGTTGGCACCCTTGATATTTCTCCAGGAAATCATGTATTTCTCACGAAACGTATTGCATTAACACATGTTTTGCTATACACATGTTTATTCCCTTTGTGTGTATTGGGACAAAACAAAAAAAGGGAGGAAAGAAAGCAAATTCGACATAATGTCACACAAACCTCCAAAAATGGGCTGGACAAAAGTATTGGCACCCTTTCACAACTGCGGATAAATAAGAATGTTACAAGCATGTGATGCTCCTGTAAACTCACCTGGGGCAAGTAACAGGTGTGGGCAATATAGAAATCACACCTGAAAGCAGATAAAAAGGAGAGACGTTCACTTAACCTTTGCATTGTGTGTCTGTCTGTGCCACACTAAGCATGGACAACAGAAAGAGGAGACGAGAACTGTCTGAGGACCTGAGAACCAAAAATTGTGGCAAAATATCAACAATCTCAAGGTTACAAGTCCATCTCCAGAGAACTAGATTTGCCTTTGTCCACAGTGCGCAACATTATCAAGAAGTTTGCAACCCATGGCACTGTAGCTAATCTCCCTGGTCGTGGACGGATGAGGAAAATTGATGAAAGATTGCAACGCAGAATAGTCCGGATGGTGGATAAGCAGCCCCAAACATGTTCCAAAGACATTCAAGCTGTCCTGCAGGCTCAGGGAGCATCAGTGTCAGCGCGAACTATCCGTCGACATTTAAATGAAATGAAACGCTATGGCAGGAGACCCAGGAGGACCCCACTGCTGACACAGAGACATAAAAAAGCAAGACTACAGTTTGCCAAAATGTACTTGAGTAAGCCAAAAGCCTTCTGGGAAAACGTCTTGTGGACAGATGAGACCAAGATAGAGCTTTTCGGTAAAGCACATCATTCTACTGTTTACCGAAAACGGAATGAGGCCTACAAAGAACAAAACACAGTACCTACGGTAAAATATGGTGGAGGTTCAATGATGTTTTGGGGTTGTTTTGCTGCCTCTGGCACTGGGTGCCTTGACTGTGTGCAAGGCATCATGAAATCTGAGGATTACCAAAGGATTTTGGGTCGCACTGTAGGGCCCAGTGTCAGAAAGCTGGGTTTGCGTCCAAGATCCTGGGTCTTCCAGCAGGACAATGACCCCAAACATACGTCAAAAAGCACTCAGAAATGGATGGCAAAGAAGCGCTGGAGAGTTCTGAAGTGGCCAGCAATGAGCCCAGATCTAAATCCCATTGAACACCTGTGGAGAGATCTTAAAATTGCTGTTGGGAAAAGGTGTCCTTCCAATAAGAGAGACCTGGAGCTGTTTGCAAAGGAAGAGTGGTCCAAAATTCCGGGTGAGAGGTGTCAGAAGCTTATTGATGGTTATAGGAAGCGACTGATTTCAGTTATGTTTTCCAAAGGGTGTGCAACCAAATATTAAGTTAAGGGTGCCAATACTTTTGTCCAGCCCATTTTTGGGGTTTTGTGTGACATTATGTCATATTTGCTTTTCTGCCTCTGTTTTATATTTGTTCCAATACATACAAAGGGAATAAACATGTGTATAGCAAAACATGTGTTAATGCAATACCTTTTTTGTGTGAAATACTTGATTTTCAGGAAAAATATCAAGGGTGCCAACAATTTCGGCCATGACTGTATATAGCGCTAAAAGGTTTGCTCAGCGCTGTACATTATAGTGGGGGACAGTGCATGAGACAATACAGTAACAATACAATACACGAGGGGGTCAAGGGCCCTGCTCTTTCGAGCTTACAATCTAGGATATAGAATGTTAATAGAGATGTTAGGGCTACACATGTAAACTCATTGGTAAATCCCAATATACACAATTATTTATTATAGAGGGTTTTTTTTTAGCATTTTTTAAAGCTCAAAAAACACTGGATAAAAAATGCTGGTAATAGCGCTTTTTAGTAGCATTTTAGCAGCGTTTTTAGAAGCAGTTAGGAGTGTTTAGGAGTGATAGCCTTTTATTAGTGTTTTTTTTACAGTACACACAGGGGGAGAAAAAGATAGAAAAAAGCAGTTAGGAGCATTTTAATAGCATTTAGATGTGTTTAGCATTTTTTTCTGCTGGAAAAAATGCTCCCAAAAACTCTACAAAAACAGTTTTTTTCTGCTCCTAAATGCTGAAGCTTGAAAAACCCTACTAGTCTTAAATAGTGTGCATGGACACACAGCATAACACTTTAGCTTCTAGGAGCAGAAAAAAATGCTGATAGAAGCTTCCTGGAACTTAAAAAAACACTAGTGTACATGGAATTGGACCTTATTATTAACATCGGTACCAGTCTGCCATACATTGACAAAGACTACTACAGCCATTGATAGGCACTGTTTGTGACAGGAGGACACAGATAGACTAATCAGCAAAAAGAATCTGGATAAGTTGCCAGATAAATCTCAGCTCAGTCTGTGATATGGCAAGCCACAACTGTCTTGAGAGACACCATGCCTACTTTTGGGTTGATTTACTAAAGGAAAATAGATGGTGCACTCTGGAAGTGAAGTTGCTCCAGAGCTTAGTAAATAAGGTGAAGCTTCACTTTGCAAAGAATACCCAATCACATGCAAAGAAAATAAAAATATAGAATTTTTGCTTGCACATGATTGGATGATGAAAGTCAGCAGAGCTTCCCCTCATTTACTAAGCTGTGGAGCAACTGCACTTGCAGAGTGCACAATCTATTTGCCTTTGTAAAATCAACCCATTTTGCAGTTTATCATTACAGTGTTAAGAATGTTGAAAGAACAATGGTAGAGCATAATACAGATATAAATTACAGTGATGCTTGTACAAGCCAGGATCAGCACCTGGCTACAATATGTGAGCTTCAGATCTGATTCCTGTTCATGAAAATGGAAGAGATCAAAGGAAACTTATGAACATAATGAGCCAATATCTGCAAAACATGTGTACACGGATCTTAGCAAATCTCATACCGTATTTTTTTGTTTTGCAGGAAAACAAAAACCGAATATTCTGCAAATTATTTATCTCCTTCAGATTATAGATACAAAGATGGGGCTTGGATAAAAGCAAAACGTCAAGTTAATGATCAAGTGAGTGACATGTATTTGTTTATTTTTCAAATTGCTCCACTTAGAGGTGGAGTTGGGTTGGCATAAATTAAAAGAGAAGTATTACCAAATATTTTTTTCTTTTTAGGGTCACAGGAGTACATTTACTTTTGTTCTCCTGTAACCTAGGCAGAGCCACACCAGGCTAAGGAATCTCTGCGGTATTGTTGGGATTCACCTGGCTGCTTAATTGGCATGTGGCTCCGCTTTTCAGCATATGGCTGAGAGCCGGTGCCAGCCATTCCTGCCTCCTCTCGAGCCTGGTGCTTTGATGAATGCTGCTGCTCTCTGCTGGGAGCAAACTGAGAGCTGAGCGATCAGCAGTTAGGTGATTGCTCAATTCTTGGTCTTAGAGTTGGTGTGGGACAGCTGCAGTGTCACACAGATGCTGCAGCATGGAGGTGAGTATGTATGCTTGGGGTTTTTTTTTTTTGTAGTTCCATAGCTCTCATTTAAGCACCATGTGCAAAATATACTAGGAGATGTTTATGTAAATTTGCATTAGGAAAAATGTAGGCTTTATTCAACACATGCCATCACATCTCCTCTATTTACTTTCCTCACCCCCCAATTTTTTTTATGCTCAAAAAAAGTCCAAAAAACGCTGGTTTGACTCATTTTACCGACTTTTGCTGCATTTTTCAGCATTAGAGCATTTTTACTGCCAAAAAACTCCTCTAGAAACCCACTAGTTCTTTGTTTTTTTCCAGCCATAAAAAGCCCCTGCAAAAAAATGCTGATTACAGCCTATATGTGCATGGACACATAGGATAACATGCTGGGGAGTGTACTGACTGTAGAAAAAATGCCAAAAACAGCCGCTTTAAAAACATCCAGTGTGCATGAGGAGAAGAATGACCTCTTTCTTTGTTAGTTCTTTTTTTTTTATTAATGAGACTTCAAGCAGTGATGAAATCATACTAATAAATAAATATTTTTATTATATGCAGCTCTGAAATATGGAGAATATCCACACTATACTGAAGATCCTAAAAGATAAATCAGAAAGCAATATTGCTAAGGTCAATTCACTAAAGCTTAAGGGATAAGTTCACCTGTTGTAAAAAAATAAAAAATGAACATTTTTGCAGGTAAAAAAATGTGCACTAATTATTTTTTTTACTCTGCAGCCTGTAAAGCATTGCACCCATGATCAGCAGTGCAATGCCAGGATCCTGCAGACACTCAGTCAGCTGTCTGCCCATATATCCTGTATGGGCAGGCAGTTACTGAATGGCAGGAAGAATCCGTGAACTACGAGAGTGTTCACAGAGCCCTCACAGTTCATTGAGATCTACAAGCTGTCAGCAGCGGTGGCCAACAGTAGTTCATTCATTCACAGAACTCTGTGAATAAATGACACGCCCATGTGGGCGGAGTTTTGCACAATCTCACTCTTTTTAAATTGTGACAGTGGGTGCAGGGAGAAGATCCCCCGCAAGATATCACAGGGAGGGGAGGGATCGGGGGGGAGAGGAGACAGAAGCTGGAACATATCCTTTAGAGGCTAAATTAACCTTCTGGAGCATGTTAAACATTGCACTCATGATTGCACTAACATCCAAATTTTCACCACAAGCTTTTGGGGTGTACCCACTTGTTTAAGGTCCAAGCAGTGCTCAAAATACTTAAAATACCAGTATCTTTTGGCTGGCAGTAATGTTTCTATGGGTTGTCTAATTGGGACAAAATGAGGAAAGGAGGAGCACCTGGTATCCAAAAGAATTGTGAGTTTGGAAGTCAATTCAAGAATTTTTATTTAGAGTAAAAATAAGTACATCAAGCCGACAGATTTCGGGAGAAAGGATTTGTCCCTTCTTCAGGGCTGTGGCTGCATGCTAGATGACTGAGTGTAAATCCCAGGCCAAACATGTGCTCATGAGTTTTTCTAAAGGCAGGCTGGCAGTGTGACCCTGCAACCACAGCTGTCACTCCACAAACCTGTCTTACATGTAGAAACAGCCTTAAAGCCGTACCAAAAAGGCAGCTGCCCATGACCCAAGAGGATTTACAACCTACATCTCCACCATCAGGCGCATTCCTACTGGAAGGAATCCTTCCAATCCGCCCACATAACTACCAACCCAGGACCAGCCTCAGATTTAGTCAGTCCATCACGGTCTCCAACACATTCGAGCTGAGATGTCTAATGAGGAGGAGAGAGAGAAAATAGTTGTTTTTGGTGCACTAACACTAATAATTGTTGAGTTACCCACTTGAGCTTCGGAAGATTTTCCCCCTTTTTTGCTATACTGCACTGCTCTACTTTAACTGGTAATTATGTGGTCATGCAACGCTGTACCCAACCAAAATTCAGATCATTTTTTCACACAAATATCACTTTTTTTTGGTGGTATTTGATCACCACTGGGTTTTCTTATTTTCTGCTATATAAATGAAAAAATGATCAAAAAGTTAAAAAAAAAAAGACAATATTTTTTACTTTCTGCTATAAAACATATCCATTAAAAAATTAAAAAAATCTATTTTCCTCATAAATTTTAGCCAATATGTATCCTGCTTTATTGCTTTGATAAAAGATAATACAGTAAGTGTATATTGATTGGTTTGCTTGAAAGTTATGGCGCCTACATCCTATGGTATAAATACTGGAATTTTAATTTTTTTTACACTATTAATGGCAGTGATCAGAGACTGCGATAGTACAGAGGGTAGTCTGACACTAACTGACGCTGAAGGGAATTGACTAACTGCTACTGATATCACCAGTGATATTAATACAGTGATCAGTGATAATACCAGGGGCAGACTGACAACTCATGGGGCCCCCGGGCAATAGGGGATCATGGGGCCCCTGTGTCCTTGCCCAAACTCAAAAAAGCCTATGAAAAAGGTACCAGGGGCATCTCATGGGGCCCCCTACTAACCCCGGGCCCTCTGGCAGTGCCCGAGTTTCCAAATGGTCAGTCCGCCCCTGGATAATACTATACACTGTACTATTGACACTGATTGAGAAGGGGTTAACATCTACGGCGATTAGGAGTTAAATGTGCGCCTAACAATGTGTATTTTGTGTAAAGTGTGCTGCTTTTTACTAATGTTTTTTGGGTTTTCAAGCACAAAGCAGGGATGAGAAACACAAAGATTTTTCCCTTTCTACAGAGCTCTGTGTTGAATGTGAACACAGAGCTCTGGATTGTAATTGTACACAGCCGATCAGCAGGTCTTGGCCATGAATCATTGGCCTGGGACTTGTTGACAGGCTCCTGCTGTGTACAATCATAGCGTGTGCTGGCCAGGGATGCGCACACCTGAAACCAGGACGTACAGCAGCTCCCCCTCTGCAGTACATTGCGGGCGGGCGCTAAGTGGTTAAAAGTTAGGGATGCACCAAAATTTCGGTGGCTGAAACATTTCGGACGAAAACACCCCTATCGGCCATCGGCCAAAATGAAAAAAAAGCACCGATACAGGTGCCGAAAAAACATTTCTCTTCATAAAGAGGACCTGTCATTCATTATTTCTATCACAAGGGATGCATGCATTTCTTGTGATAAGAATAAAAGTGATTACATTTTTTTTTAAAGGAACAGTTAAAAAAAATAAAACACATTAAGTACATTTTTTATAAAAAGTTTAAAGTGCCCCCATCCCCCCGCACGCTGTGGTGAACGCATACGTAGGCCATGCCCACATATGTAAATGGTGTTCAAACCACACGTGAGGTATCACCACGAACGTCAGCACAAGGCAATAATTCTCGCACTAGACCTCCTCTGTAACTTTACACTGCTAACCTGTAGACATTTTTAAAGCATCACCCATGGAGATTTTTAAGTACCGCAGTTTCACGTCATTCCACGAGCGTGCGCAATTTTAAAGCGTGACATGTTGGGTATCTATTTTCTTGCCGTTACTACCTCTTTCATATTTTACAAAAAAATTGGGGTATATATTGTTTTTTTTCAATTAAAGTGTATTTTTTCCAAAATATATATTCATTTTTAAAAACTGCGCTTTTCAGTTATGGTTTTCGGCCAAGTGCAGTTTGAATTTTCGGTTTCGGCACCAGAATTTTCATTTCGGTGCACCACTAGTTAAAATACTAATGCATGAGGCAGCCAAACCTTCAATGGCAAAACCATTTATTGTGAAAAAATAACAGTTCTACTACCAAGTGATATTTATGTTTCTGAATTGAAAAGTGAGAATGCACTTACAAACACTCCTGCTGTAACTTCTTATGAAATAATAAGCAAGAGCATGAAAAAATTTTTTTTATAGTAGTAATCAAAGCCCAAGTCTATTTTCATCAATTTGAGGGTGGCATTGTGCTTTAATATTGTTTATTCTAGGAGCTGTTGCTTGCTTATATCTTTTGTTGAGCTTGAAAAGTACACAAGGTTTCTGACTTTTCAAGCTGTGATCGTTTTCATGTCTTATTTAAAGTGATCTCTCAAGTGATTTTACATGTGATAAAGAGGCCACTTTAGCAACATATAAGTATTATCACAGCTTGATGACTCAGAGCCATTTTGATCATTTAAGTTGCATTCTTGTTTCAACATTAGCTGTAAGAGAAGTCTTATTATTATTTATTTGCATTATTCCTGCCATGTGCGCTTCCTGCAGTTTAATTACCTAATATCAGTAACTAGAATGCTTGGCTAGGTGGCAGCAACGAGCTTTGCTTTGCTTTTTTCCAGTTGATGCTAATGTTTTGGTTATGAATGATGATTTGTTCTGTGTTCCTTCTTCTAGGACTCTCCTCTCAGTGTTGGCTCTATGTGGGTCGCTGAGGTTGGTTTGTTCTCTCCTGAAACTACTTTACTTTTCCATATTAACAGTAGTTATGCACTTTCGGTGCAGACTACTCTACAAGGGCAGTGTTTTTTTTTCAGGTTTATGTTACTCGTTTCATAGGTTCATTTACACTGGAAACAATGGGTAGGCCAGGTTGAGGGATTTAATGTGTATGCTGTTCCTGGAAAGTATAAAAATATTATATTATATTCAATTTTTAAAACAATATCAGGGAAAGGGTTATTGGGGAGAAGTGCATATAATGCTTTATTAAAGAGTTATTTTTTATTTTGGACACATAGAGGGAGATTTACTAAAGCTGGTGCACTCAGAATCTGGTGCAGCTGTGCATGCTAGCCAATCAGCTTCTAACCTTAGCTTGTTCAATTAAGCTATGCCAATAAAACCTGGAAGCTGACTGGTTTCTTTGCAGAGCTGCACCAGATTTTGCACCATGCAGTTTTAGTAAATCCTCTCCATAGGGTTTGATTACTATAACTGGAGTAATCAAATCTACTCCATAGGGTTTGATTACTGTAACTGGTGCAGCTGTGTATGGCAGCCAATCAGCTTCTAAAGCAGGCCATACATGGGTGGAATTCCGAACGATTTTTCTATTGAAAATCAAAAACATTGTTCATTCTGTAATCCGATGGTTCAACCAATGATTTCGAAAATCAATCGTTTTTCATGAATTTTCCAGCATGCCCAATAAACGAAATGGGGAGGAACCACGAAAATCGGTCAGTGCCATTACCCCACTAACAGAGCGAAAATCATCCGATTATTCTTAGGATTTTTCAGATGAAAAATCGTTTGGATATCGACCCATGTATGGCCGGCCTTACTTCAGCTTGCAGCATTTTCTGTACGAATTCCGCACCACATCAGAATCACACCCTGTTCATGTGAAGCAATGCGGGTGTGTATGTTAAAACAGTTAACAACAGTTAAGTTAACAACACCCCGAAATTAGTCTGCAAAATGTTATGCGATGTGCAGAATCGGATCTGCACCTTTTTGGTGCCGGTGCAATTGGAGCCATACAAAGTGTACGGCTCCAATCGCACCACACACAAATCACATGTGATTTGCACAGGAATGCGGTGCGGTTCCTGTGCAAATCACATGCGATGTACCGCACCACATTAGTGTGAACCTAGCCTTAAGCTTTGCCATAAAAAAAATCTGGAAGCTGTTTGGTTTCTATGCAGAACTGCCCCAGATAAATTAACCCCATACTACTCATCTTTATGACATTACCCCCTTTATGACTAGGTTTTGATTCAATTCCAAACAATTGTTTTAATTTATTAAATGATTGTCTCTCTTTTGCAAAATGATCCCCAAGAGTTGATAATCACGTCTTTTTTGTGAATACTTTATTTGGGTACACACGCTGCACCAAAATTGGCATGCTTGTATGCTTATAGGTGAGGTAAATATGAGCTTATAACCATTTATGCTTTTATAATGAATTAAGCAAATTTTGTTTCTGTGCTGTTGGACAGGTAAAGGAACTGCGAGAAAAGGCTGAGTATTATAGACACCGAGCTCAAGGAACTCATTTCTCCCGGGACCACCTTAATCAGATCATGTCTACTAATAATAAATTTTGGGATGTGTCTTCTACCTTGAGCAGCGAGGAAGATATGAGCAACAATATTAAAGCTTTAGATTTGGCTGGGTATGTCTTGCACCTTCCTTTGTAGATTTTTCCAAGTGTGTTGTGTACTGTGTAATGTGTGTATAGCACCCTGACCATGTACATTCTGTCACCATAGGATACGCTTCCTTTGAGTACAGCTGTGATGTTGGCAGGCTGTATATAAAACTAAACTTACTTAACCTCCCTAGCAGTCTGATTATGTCAGTATTTCTGTGCTCAAAGCGGTACATTGTTTTCAATAGAAATATGTTGTTTTTTTATTGTAGGCCTGTAATTCTTAGGAATAACCCACTGAAATCTGTCCGAACAAGAGTCTAGTAAACATCCCGGGTATGATAAAATTTGAAACACGAAATCATAAATTATAATATAATAAACAATCATAAAAAATAATAATATAATAATAATAAAATTAATTCAATAATGTAATCAAACCAAAAAAACACTGAAATTTGAAATAGAGCGCCAAGTTCGCACATCACTGAGCTTAGTCTCAAAATTGTTTTCAGTGTCTGATGACGAATTTCCCCACGAATCATTATCACTCAATTCTGCAAGTGGTTCTGATTTACTATCGCTGTTCTCTAGCTGGTCTAAAACCACTTTTGACCTAAAGAGACGCTTTTTGGACGCCATGGACATTTCTCAGTTTCAAGGCAGAAAGAACAGTAAAAACAGGCAGGGCACAGAACAAAGCAGTAGCGACAAAATGTATGTGAAATGGTTTGATACAGTAATATAATACTATCAGATTTTAGTGTATTGAGTGAATGTCACATTTTAGAATTTTTGAATTTCCCGCTGGTTCTGTCCCCCATACGTCCTGACGCTCGCAGGGACTGGAAGACAGATGCCGACATCGTCCGGAGGACATGGCCGGGGACACATCGCGGGAGCGCAGGACAAGGTAAGTGCTGGAGGGATCCCAGAGCAACGCTGCAGTTTAATCCTGAGTGTAGCTCGGGGTTACTGCTTCTGTTACTGAAAGTTAACCCCGAGCTACACTCGGGAATACTGCCAGGGGGGTAAAATGAGAAGTACAGCCAAAGCTTTTTGGCTGTACTTCTCCTGTGGATCATAGGAGTGCACTCCTATGACCCGTTTTCAGTTGACATCAGACTGAAGTTCGCTGTCGGCTAACGTCACTCAGCCGGTCTAGGCTAAGGAAAGATCCCGACTTCAAAGTTGGGATCCACCCCAGAATCTGGAGCAGCACCTGTCTAAGCCTCTCAGCGAAGCGCTGAAAGCCTGATCCAGCTGCTCCCTCCCCCTCCACAGCCCAGTGCTCCAGTGAGCGCTGGGGGTGGAGGAGAGGGGCTGAGCAGAGTGCTGACTGACAGTCCTGCTCTCTGCTCAGAGCGGCTGTGAGAACTCCACAATCAGCGATCATGTGATTGTTGATTGCTCTCCGTTAGAGGGGGCACAGATGCAGCATCCACCTAGGTAAGTATAAATAGGAAACAAAAAGCCCTACTTCTCTTTCAAAAGCCTTACATCAAGTATAATACATTTACTGTAATGCTCTCCTCCAAAAACCACCTGAAATCTTTTTTTCACAATATATTAATGCCATGATCTCCTGCACATCAGAAATCAGAATAACAGCTGGAAGCTATACAATGTGAGCCAGTCAGGCACAATAGCATTGGAAACTGCTGTAAGTATAACATGCTTCCTGGCACTTGAAGTGGAAGAGGGAGCTGTTTAGATAGCATACAAGAGGGGGAGAGCACAGGGTGGTGTGTTGATGCTGATTTTTAGTTGAATGAGTAGACAAATGACACAGGAACCTGAAGAGCTTCAATAGTGAATAGTGGTATCAGCCTGACTGTGCACTGGGTAGACAGAATTACAAATATTTAGACAGGTATAATAGTTCACAAATAGTATGTGCTTCTCATCTACATGATTAGCTGCTTACTTGGTGTTCTGATTGAGCCCTGGTTCACACTAATGCGGTGCGGGAAACTCAGCAAATCCTGTGCTTTTCCTGCACCGTATTGCAATCGTAAGGCGGCCATGCGATCTGGTACGGGTGTCAATGTTAAATTAACGACACCCTGAAACAGATTGCAAAACGCAGTGTGATTACCAGAATTTGCATCGCATGGGTGTGAACACCCATGGGAATGTGAGTCAGGTGCGGGGAAAAAGTGTCCTACACCTTTTTGGTGTGGATGCGATTTGAGCCATACAAAATGTATGACTCAAATCGTACTGCACAGACATCGCATGTGAAATGCGTTGGAGTCACATACAATGTGCTGCACTGCATTTGTGTGAACCAGTACTGAAAGCAGATGTAAAGCTTAACACAAAGACGTTTAGTTTGCTTAACCACTTCAGTACCAGACACTTTCACCCTTTTCCTGCCTAGGCCAATTTTCAGATTTCAGCGCTGCCACACTTTGAATGACAATTACTCATGCAGCACTGTACCCAAATGAAATTTTTAGCATTTTTTTTTTAGAGAGCGCTTTCTTTTGGTGGTATTTAATCACCACTGGGATTTTTTTTTGCTAGTTAAACTAAAAAAGGGCAAAATTTAAAAAAATTTTTTCTTAGTTTCTGTTTTAAAATTTTGCAGATAAGTAATTTTTCTTCTTCACTGATGTGCGCTGATGAGGCCTGCACTAATGGGCACTGATGAGGCAGCACTGATAAGCTGCACTGATGGGCACTAATGAGGCTTCATTGATGAGGTGGCACCGATGGGCACTGATAAGCACCACTGATGGGACTGTACTGATAATCAGGGCACTGATAAGGCTGCACTTACAGTCATCGCACTGTACGTCATTGTAAAACACTGTACTCACTGTGCCCCTCACAGATCCGGCTCTCCTTTCCTCATACATGGTCTCTGTGTGAGAAAAGTAGAGACAATAACCAGCAAAGGAATTGAGTCTGTTTACAATGTGACAGCTGTGATTGGACACAGCTGATCACATGGTAAAGGGCTGTCCCAGAGAGGCACACGTGTGGGAAGACATCCAGGGACACCCTCCCAGAACTGGAGAGCTGCACTGTAGCCGTATATCAGCTATACACGGTGGAGAAATGGTTAAAACAGAACTTCACTTACTACAGAAAGTTCTGCTAATTCTCCTCCTCCTCCCATACCTTGCATGAATTGACAGTTATCCACTTCCACTCGTATCGCCTAGAAGTTCTCCACCTGCAACTTCCTGGGAAACCTCACAGGTCCCAGGAGTCTGCGGGACCATTCACAGAGTGCAGCATGGCTTGTGCATGCACAGCGGGGAGTTGGCTTTGCATCTGCAGGGAATTACATCCAGCTTCCCACAGTCAACACTGGGGTGCTGGGGACCACCTTAACATAGATGAAGAAGTGGCCTGGGTGAGAACTGGATGCTTGTTCTATATGTGTCTTATTATTAAACATCAGCAGCTACAGTATTTGTAGCTGCTGACTTTTTTTTAACTTAAGCAATGTATATTGTAAATACTTGCCAATTTTTAAATAAAATACCTGTTTTCACCTTTTTCATCCTTTATTGCATCTCAGTAATGCCAGTTCTATGCAACTTCGCTGAAGCAACATTCAATCTATGTACATGCACTATAGACATCATACTTTAAATAATGATGGGATTTGTGGAGTTGTTGGGGTCCACTTAGCTGGTGCCTCTGTGACTGAAGATGCCAATTTATTTGAGGTGTCATGAGTTACAGTATCAAAGGTTATGGCAGCATATATAATTTCGATAGAGTATACCTGTATGTACAGCTGCCTAAGAAATTACCTGACGAATCAAGAAATGTAATTTACGTACTGTAGGTTACTGTTAATAAAGGAATGTATACATTTATATATTTTTATATGGATGAAAAGAGATGGTTAGTATTATGAGGAATTGTTTACAGATGTTAATTTATCTCCCTCTTTTTTTTAACTGGTTGTATAGTCTAAACACTTCTTCAAGGAATGAAAACAGACACCAGTCACCAACCAAAGCTAAAGCTGCCTCCAATACTGGTAATCTTGGGCTTTCAGATGTCTCCACCCACCCAGTTAGAAGAAAACTAGTTTGGGATGAATGTGAGGACACAGAAAAAACAGAAGAGGTAACACCACTGAGAACAGAGGGTGACCCCGAAGAAGCTGCTGATGCAGAGGATGATGACCAGCCCCAGGAAAATGCTGAAGAATGCCATGAAGATATTACTGAAACAAGGTAATCAAGTTATCTGCGAGGAAACACTTTTTTACACTTGTAACCTCTGCATAATATTTTCTAGTAATACATCTTATAATAATATCTTTCATGTTTTTTGAGGAGCACAAGAAGTCTCAAACCTTCGGTTATACTGCTGCCTACAGGAGAAATGTATAGTGTAAAAATAAAAGTAGCCAGTACAGGATAACCATACCCAAAACCATCAAGCGTCATTTTTTATCTCATGCTATCAGAAGAGTGAACATGTTTTCTTCAGCTCTGATATTTTCTGTACATTTGGAAGATTTCTCTGCTATCAACAGCTTCTGGTTAATTGACACTGTATACAGAAATCCTGGGAGCACAGGTTTACTCCGTTCATTTAGTATACTATTGTTCTCTGTGCGATGGCCCTGCATTTTTGGAAGTTTCTCCAGTCATCAACAGCTACTGATATGTTCAGGCCAAGCATTGGATGTACTGGAAGTATCTTTAGTTAACCAATGAGCATAGGTTTTCCTAGTTTATTAAATATAGTGGTGTTCCAGCAGTCAGTGGTGACTATCCATCTGTTTCAGTTCCCACAGTACTGCACTTTAAGGTTGGGGTATTCCTTAAGTAGTTATCAGTCCAGTCAGTTTTACTGGAACTTACTGTTTTGAATACTTAGCTGGCCAATGCTGGGTTGTGCTTTCCTCTGTTCAGTACCAAGGCTACATATGTGGTATAGGCTGCGCAAGCAAATGTAGCTGACTCGCCATTTTCTGAGGGAATTAACATTTTCCTTTTACTTCTGGTCTTGGATTATACTTTATGTACTTTGCACATTGGCCTCATGGGTGAGATCTCCTCTTTTTTTTCTGCTCAGGCCATACAAGGCAACGGTTATCATTCTTTTCTTTCCCACCTTCTTTCTTCCTCTAGCTGCACTTGATGATGTAGCTCTAAAAAAAGAGGGAGCATACAGCACAGTTGTGTAGTGGCTAGCACTTCTGCTTGGCAACACTGGGGTCATTGGTTCTAATCCCAACCACAACACTACCTACCTGGAGTTTGCATGTTCTCCTTGTGCCTGCATACGTTTCAGGTACTCCAGTTTCCTCCCACACTCCAAAGACATGGCGGTAGGTTAACTGGCTTCTGTCTAACTTGGCTCTAGTACGTGTATGTACAGTATGAATGTGAGCTAGGGACTTTAGATTGTAAGCTCCATGAGGGTAGGGATTGATGTTAATGTACAATATAGATATAAAACGCTGCATAAATTGTCAGTGCTATATAAATAATAATAAATCACAGATTATCAGATCTCTACTGCGGGTTATTACTTTCTGTAGTTAGCTTCAGACAGTCTGAACTTTAGGACCAAAGAATGTGGGAAAGAGACAGCATTGTAGATGGAGAATCGTTTTGGACGAGCTACACAGGGAGAAGACACTTTATGCTAGCACAGCTAAAACCTTCAGCCCTGAGTAAACAGGCCGCAATGGCATGGCTTTCCTGAGATGAATGTCATCTAGTAGTCAGATAAGTATTTGTGAAGTTTAGCTCTAAAGCCTCCTCTTGCTGAACTAGAACAGCTGCTTTGGATGTGTTTGAGCTGCAGGTATTGAATCTAGTGTTCTCGGCACAGTTCTTCACCCGGTCATTTCAAAGTGGTTAGTGGAGTTCCTTTTCAACATTTCTCTCTGCATCCACTAAGTATTTTAAAGTGTTACTAAGCTCACAACAGTAAAATCAGTCTGTATATGCAGTAAAACATGCTTGTTATACTCACTGTGGGACCTAAGGGGTTAATCCTCTACATTGTGTAAAAAGGATTTTTGATCCTGTCTTCTCTGATCCTCCCCTTCTTCCAGTGTCCCCCCTCTTATCTCCTGATAAGAAATATCATGTGGAGACACTGCACATGCTCAGTTTGGTGTGTATTGCTAGAGAGTTTTTTTTTTCCTTGGGAGAGTGCATAAGATCAGCACAGGGCCAATCAGCACTGCCCCAACAGAGGTCAGGGGTTCTGCATCCTCCTAGAGAAAATTCTTCCTACAAGCTGTAACCAGTGCTCGGCCGGACAGTGATAGATGTCACAAGACTGCTGATGAAAAAAGGTATTTAGCAGTTTATATTTACTAAAATAATTGCATTTCCATGTTCTGTGTACTGTTGGAGACCAGATATAGTGAATGCAGGGTCCTGGGTTTAGTAACACTTTAAGAGGGCACAGTACTGGCTCAGTTACAGGCCTTCTTGTTGCTGTTAGTATTGTCGTACATTTTGCAGTTGTGGGAATGCCTTTTGGGTCTTAACCCTTAGCCTTGTTTTTGTTTGGCCTTCACTAATTACTTTGGCAGGCAGAAGGGGTGTTAGAATCCGGATTATAACCTAGGACCTCTGTTAAATCTGACAGTGACTCTACATATGGGCACTGTGGTCCTCTACTTGATCCCAACCTGCACCCACTTGTTACTGGCCTTTGACTTGTTCACCAACTATGCTTCTACTTGTTACCTATCTGCTACATCTGTTTCTGAACCCTTGTTTGCTCCTCTGGTGCGGCAATCATGAGGATCGCGATCCCCATCTCCAAATTTAGGAGCTCTAATGAAGAATGGTCATTGCTTCAACCCCATTCCTCGGGTCAAAGCACTCCTGTGTTTATTATCTGCTTATTACTACTTTGTTAGAAAAGAGACATGTAGGGGTTATCCTTTTAGGCTAACAGTTTTTGTTGGCAGTGTCCATTTTACTTGTAAGCTGCAGTATAACTAAAGGTTTTAAGGTTTCCCGTGTTCTTCAGTGTACTCAAAAAAAGAATTTTAAAAGTAAGTAGGCAGGAACCACATGTGTATAGGTAAGAGATACAGTGTGGCAATTATATTGTTTATATACAGAATAACAAACACTTACAGATTCATTCTTGAAAATTATAGTGGGAAGGACTAATGTGAACATTTCTGTGTCTGCAGTTTATTTTAAGGCCCTTTGCTTCCTGTAGACCCTTTGGCCTCATGCATACTGGTTAATTGTGAACACTGTTTCTCCTGATAGAAGAATATCAGCATTAAAAAAATAACTAAAACACAGTTTCAAATAGATTTTAGATTTCAAGCATGGCATGCACTTTACAGGACATTCGAGATGTGGTTGTAGCCTCTGTTGAGTCCACCCCCAAGCACAGAAGTATTTGTGTTTGTCATTTTTGACATTTGGGTGTTTATTTCATTGGCTTGAATTTTACTTTATTCTGGTCATTGGAACTAATAAACTCTCAAGCTCTAAATATGTCCAGTGCTTAGGTGCGTTTAGCACCATTTGGTGTTTTTTATGCCCAAAAGCTCATCTGAACATGATTCTTCTCTAAATGGTTGTGCTTCTAAACTGCAATAAAAGCTTATGTGTGCATGGACACCCAGGCTTTTATTGTGGTTTGTTTAGGGGCTTAGGCAAAAAACGCCAAAAGTTCCATAAACATCAGTTTAAGAGCCCTACTAAAACTCACTAATGATTTACTAACTGCTAAAACCAATGGCCACTACTCCATACTCTTACAACTTGACCTCTCTGCGGCTTTTGATACTGTTGACCATCCCCTCCTCCTCAAAAAACTCCACTCTCTTCGCCTCCGAGACTCTGCTCTCTCCTGGTTCTCCTCCTACTTATCACAGCGCTCCTTCAGTGTTACCTATAACTCAGTCTCCTCCTCTCCACTCCCTCTTTCTGTAGGGGTCCCTCAAGGTTCTGTCTTTGGACCCTTTCTCTTCTCCATCTACACCTCCTCCCTTGGTCACTTGATAAACTCCCATGGCTTTAAGTACCACCTCTATGCTGATGACACACTGTTCTTAACATCACACCTTCAGTCTCCTCTCGCATTACTAACCTACTAAGTGACATATCAGCACTGATGTCACTCCACTTTCTCAAACCAAATCTTTCTAAAACTGAGCTCATACTATTCCCTCCAGCCCGTGCCCCCTCCCCTGACTTCTCCATCAAGATCAATAATACAATCATCAGTCCCTCCCCTCATGCCAGGGTGCTAGGTGTAATCCTGGACTCCCATCTGTCCTTTCAGCCCCAAATCCAATCGCTGTCCAAATCTTGTAGACTTCACCTCCACAACATCTCCAAGATATGCCCGTTTTTAACCACGGAAACCACTAAGCAACTTATTCACTCCCTTGTTATCTCTCTCCTCGACTATTGTAACTCCCTCCTCATTGGCCTACCTCATCACAGGCTATCCTCTCTTCATTCTATCATGAATGCTGCTGCCAGACTCATCCACCTTACTAACCATTCTATATCTGCCACCCCTCTCTGCCAATCTCTCCACTGGCTTCCCATTGTCCAACAAATAAAATTCAAAACAGTAACAATAATATAGAAAGCCATTTACAACTCTGCCCCAAATTACATCACCAGTCTTTTCTCCAAATATCACCCAAACTGTCCTCTCCGCTCCTCCCACAACCTCCTGCTCTCTAGCTCCCTTGTCCCTTCCTCCCATGCATGTCTCCAAGACTTCTGCAGAGCCTCCCCCATCCTCTGGAACTCTCTACCCCAATCTCTCTGTCGCCTACTCTGCCCACTTTTAGGCGATCTCTGAAAACCTCTCTTCAGGGAAGCCTATCCCACCTTCAGCTAATAACCAAATCTTCTATCTCTCCTATCAGTTCATCCCCCACAGTTATTTCCTTTTGTAACACCAGTCCCTCACTCTTAGATTGTAAGCTCCAAGGAGCAGGACCCTCCTAACCCTCTTGTATTGAACTGTATCATTGCTGTATTGTCTCTCTTTATATCGTAGAGCACTGAGTAAACTGTTGGCGCTATATAAATCCTGTGTTATAATAATAATAGCAGTGTGCATGAACCCTTAATCTTAAAAGAGCTTAATATATGTTTGTCTATAGTATAGATAAAAAACGAAATACTTTCTAAACCTTACTCCTTGTAGATGCAGGAGAATCAGTGAATGCACATCAATCTTTTGTTAGGCATTGATCACATTTAGAAATTGTATGTATGTTATAGCAGAGGCGTAACCAGAACCTTCAGGGCCTTGGTACAAGAATACATAAGGGGAACCCCTGACTCCCGGCTGGGGCTCCCCCACAGTGGCAGAACTCCAGGGCCCAGTCACAAGTGCGACTTTTGCGGCCCTGGTAGTTCCGCCATTGGTGTCAGTAGTTTTTTATTATTTTTGTTATTTTATTTTATTATTTTTTTACAATTTTTATTTTTTATTATTTTTTTACAATCTTTTTGGGGGGCTTTGGTGAGATATCAGGGGTCAAAACAGACCTCTGATACTTCACCTTTCAGACAGAGAAAGGAGATTGAGAACACAGCCCTCAGTCTCCATCTCTATAGCCTCAGCTGCACAGAATGCATGGACAGGATTAGTTCTACACAGAACTTCCCATTCATTCACAAACTGAAGCATAGTAAACATAGTTTACTATGCCTCAGTTATGAATGAACAGAGTCAGTGATTGGTACAACTCATTGACTCTATTCATTATGACACATTTACTGTCCCCTTCCCCACTGTCCATCCTAAAAGCATCCCCCGCGGCATCCGGTGGGAGAGAAGAGGGGGAAAACCGACAGCACTGCAGAGGATGGGGGGGGGGGGGGCGGGGGAGTACACAGGAGCCCATTCACAGCAGGAGGTGGATAGGAGAGACAGCAGTGAGGCATGAAGAGGAACTGGTCCCCTCCATTTTTCTCCTGCAGCTGCTGAAACGCTGCAGGATGAAAACTGAGGGGATCAGTTCCTCTACATGCTGCCCCCGCCTCCCCTCCTATATAGGTGTACTGGAACGCAAAGTGTAGACCTTGCTGTTCTTTAGTCCCCTAGTAATGCCTCCATCACTAGCCATATGGGTTCCCACATCACTTTATGCAGAGCCACTGTCTCAATGCACACGGGAAATGTAGTTCTCTGCCTGGCAACTTATATTTTTACCTTGGGGTGTAACACCACCATGTCACAGGTCTCATTAACCACTTGCCTACTCGCAACTTTCACCCCCCTCCTGCCCAGGCCAGTTTTCAGCTTTCAGTGCTGTCACATTTTGACAATTGCGCGGTCATGCAACATTGTACCCAAACCAAATTTTTATCATTTTTTTTTAGACAGATAGCGCTTTCTTTAGGTGCATTTAATCACCACTGGGATTTTATTTTTTTGCTAAACAAACTAAAAAAGACAAAATATTGAAAAAAATAAAAGTTTTTCTTAGCTTCTGTTAAAAAAATTTTGTAAATAAGTTATTTTCCTCCTTCACTGATATGTGCTGATGAGACGACACTGATGGGCACTGATAGACAGCACTGATAGATGGTACTGATAGGTGGCACTGATGGGTGCTGACAGGCATTATTGATGGGCACTGAAATGTAGCAATGATGGCCATTATGTGGCACCGACTGGCACTGATAGGCGGCACTAACTGGCACTGATAGGTGGCACTGATGGGTACTGATAGACTTCGCTGATGAGGAGGCACTTATAGGTGGCACTGATGGGTATTGATGGGCAGCACCGATGGGCACTGATATGTAGCATTGATGGGCACTGATATGTAGCATTGATGGGCACTGATATGTCGCATTGATAGGCACTGATATGCAGCACTGATGGGCACTCATAGGCAGCACTGACTGTCACTGATTGGCACTGATAGATGGCACTGATAGGGGGAACTGACTGGTACTAATAGGTGTAACACCACTATGTCACAGGTCTCATTAACCACTTGGGCACTGATATGTGGCATTGATAGGCACTGATCCACGACAACGATAGGCACTGAAAGTGCCCTGATTATCAGTGTAGATGTCCCCTCTGAGGAATGTCGCTTACTGGCTCTCCTCTTCTCACGTGCTGTCAGCGTGAGGAGAAGACTGCTGATAACCAGCATTTCCTGTTTACATGTGATCACCTGTGATTAGACACAGCTGATCACATGGTAGAGCCTTTGTCATCAGCTCTTTACCAAGAGACACAGTGCACCACAGTTCGCAGCGCTGCTTGCCCCTGGCGCATGCGCAGTTAGAGTGGGAAGACGTCATATGATGTCCTCCCAGAACAAGAGAGCTCCCGCCTGTCCGTCATTTCCCTATACGGCGGACAGGAGGCGGTTAAGCTACTTTTATTTAGGTGAATGGAAAAACCATTTGCCTTACAGAACATCTCTCAAAGTCTGTGGAGGCTACATAAATTGTGGGGTAGACTGCTGCAGCATATACAGCCTGGAGTCTGCATCTGAGGCCTTTTTTGGGACTTTATATTTCGGTATATATGCAGCCTCACAGAAGTGGGTCTTTATCTGTGGGGCTGCATACAGTATATGAGTCCATATACAGTATGTCAGTTAGTGGCAATGCATTTTAGGTAGGATTGAAAGCAAAACGTGCGCTATTGTTTCTGGGCCCTACTACAGGTACCAACAACAAATAATATTGGCATACAGTATATTTCAACTGGATACACAAAGTAGATATGACGATATGTGCAGTTTTAGGCTCCATGCACACTGGCTTAAAAATCGCTGTTTTTACCTGTAATTTGCTGTGTTTTCCTGTAGAAGCAGCTCAGTGTTATCCTATGTGTCCATGCATATTAGGACGATTAGAGGCATATTTTAAGCTCAACATTAAGAGGCAGGAAAAAACCCTTCTGTTGTTGTTTTTGACTGGTGCTTTCTGGCAGGAAAAATGCTAAACTCATCTAAACTGTGTACAAAAACACTCTATATCAGCATTTTTTTCTGCCAAGGGAGCTGCCGTTTTTTAACCACTAGCCTACAGGGCACTTATACCCCCTTCCTGCCCAGGCCAATTTCCAGCTTTCAGCGCTGTTGCACTTTGAATGACAATTGCGCGGTCATGCAACACTATACCCTGATGAAATTTTTATCATTTTTTTGTGACAGATAGAGCTTTATTTTGGTGGTATTTAATCACCTTGGGGTTTTTTTTTTTTTTCATAAACCAAAAACCACTGAAAATTTTGAAAATAAAAAGTTTTTTCTTAGTTTTTGTTATAAAATTTTGTGAATAAGTGATTTTTCTCCTTCACTGATGTGCACTAATGAAGCTGCACTGATGGGCACTGATAGGTGGCACTGATGGGCACTGATGAGGAGGCACTGGTAGGTGGCCCTAATGGGCATTGACAGGCATCACTGATGGGCACTAAAAAGGCAGCACTCATATATGGCACTGATAGGCGGCACTGACTGACTGGCACTGTTAGGCGGCACTGTTAGGGAGCACTGCCAGGTGGCACTGATGCACACTGATAGGCGGCACTGACTGGCACTGATAGGTGGCATTTACTGGCACTGATAGGTGGCACTGATTGGCAGCACTGATAGGTGGCACTGACTGGCATTGATAGGTGGCACTGACTGGCACTGATGGGTGATACTGAAAGGCAGCTCAGATGGGCACTGATATGTGGCATTGATGTGCACTGAAACTTGGCATTGATGTGGCACTGAGCACTGGTAGGTGGCATGGATGAGCACTGACAACTGGCATTGATGGACACTGACAGGTGGCACTGCTGGGGCTACACAGATCATCAGGGCACACTGATCATCAGTGCCCTGATGATCAGTGTACATGTCTCCTCTGAGGGATGCCGATTACCGACTCTCCTTCGGCATTTCCCTATTTACATGCGATCAGCTGCGATTGGACACAGCTGATCACATGAACGAGCCGACATCTTCGGCTCTTTCTGTTGATCCGCTGTGTCCGAGGGACACAGCGCACCGCAGATCGCCGCGCTGCGCTCTCCCGGAGCTGCGCTCTCCCGGAGCCGCACATGCGTGGTCAGAATGGGAGGACGTCATATGAGAACGAGAGAACCGCCTTGTGCCCGTCATTGTACTATATGACGGGCGGGAGGCGGTTAAGCTCAGTGTGCATGGAGCCTTACTGAAACATGTCAAAGTTATGTTCAGGCATTAAGATTTGTTTTGCCCTCCATCATGAAGGGGTTAATGAGGGGGGCTGTGTATAGGGGCACTTTACTGAAAGCTCAATTATTTTTTAAGTTTCCTATTATCTTACTTGAGCCAATCCACTATAGGAGTTGAGACTCTTAACGCAATAAATGTGTGAATATTCACATCAATTATCTAGTCCTGTGCTGATGAAATAAATAAACACTAATTTGCTTTGCACTTGACTGAATAATAGTAGTAAATATTTACACAATTTATTGTGTGGAGATTCTCAACTCCTTTAATGTAGCATTACTCTGTCTTCCTTACCTTCTTTATATATATTGAACTTATAGATGAACGTAATTATAATATGGAAACAACAGAGCTGTCACCTGATGCTGAAGAAGAAAACGGCATCAGGAAATTCACTAAAATGGGCATTTAAGTCATTAGAAAGGTAAAGCAGTTGCAAAAAGATCTTTTTTTTTCAAACTGCTCTTATTCTTGAACGTATCATAAAGGGAACTCCCCAAGTGAGTCTGTGGAATTGCCCTGTAATAAATGCCACTGCACCTTTCTTTCCATCTTGATGAGTGAATCATATGTGATTATATACATATGTGGCATCATCAATTTGTAAAAAAAGAATCAATGCCGATATATGCACCTGTACCACTAATTTCCACATTTTTTGTAATGGTAATAAATAACTGTAATACCATTGTATTTTTGTAATTTATTGTGATAAAGTATTTTTTTTCAGAAGAATCTGTTTACTGAAGTGTCATCTTAGTGCCACAATTTCTTTAACATTTCTTCTGTCATGATTTGACAGCACCCTATGATCATTTACAGAATTTACCATAACAGGGCAAATAAAAAGATTCATCAAAGTTCCACTTAAGACAGAGATGACAGAAACCTAAGGGTATTACATAGTGTTGTCACAATTTTCCACCAATTACCTTAGCTAAAGCCTTTATTTTGCCAGTTTCAGTGTTAGTGTGTTCATATAGTACCATTGTCTTCTTGGAGAGGTAGCAGTTGTGTGACTCAGCAGGAAGAGGTAAGCTCAGCATTCACCATAACACGTAGCGGAACAGCTCTTGAAACCACAAAACTCTGCTCTTATGTCATAAGGATCTGCTAGTTTCTTTATATTTTTGGTTCCTAGTTTTTCTGGGTGCTAGTTCCGTCTAATGGAAACTCCACTTCAAAGGCAGCTTGCCATAGCCTGGATTCTGTTAGCCATTGCAGCTGGTTTTCTTAGATTATGCAAAATTCTCTTGTTGAAAAAAAGGCAATGTATTCAGTGGGATTATGGTAAGGTGGGCCGAAACGAACAGAAATCCCTCTTGTAAAGTACATTGTTGCAATTTAAAATGAGAGAACATTTGCACTTTTGGTTTTCAATCACAAGAACATAGTCTGTTTAAGGTAGAACATTGTAAAACTATGAAAAATGGCCTTTGATTCTGTTACTTTATATACTTACAAAGTATAGAAAATATTTAAAAATACTGCGAGTGTAACAGCTGTAGTCCACTACTTGGTCCTGTATTTTTCCATAATTACTGACTTAGTATAAACAAACATAGAATGATGGGAGTGAGATGGGAAAAGTTTGGTTTTCATTTAGTTTAGTTAATTAATTTAATTAATAATTCTGCACACTAATAGTTGCCCAATAATTGTGATGCATCAGGAAATAGAAATATCGCCAGCACACTAGGTTTCTTCAATATGGGTTCCAAATCTTTTAATGTGTAATCACATAGTTACAGAGAAAGCAACGTTTCTGAGTCTCGCAGGACCCCTTCATCAGGCAAGAGACAAATAGTGACAGAATAGAAAAACCAATTAGTGCTCAAAATTTGTTAAGCCCTGCCCCCAAACATCATATTCCTGCCAATTGCATATTTAAAAAAAAAATAAACAACATAAAGGTTTACTGGCTGCAAAACAGAGATCAGGTTATCGTGTACTGAATTTTAAGGGGGGTACTGGATATGGTCACATATATATTAGAGATTCCCTCAAAGGATGTCAAAAGCAGCCTACGAGGATGTCGCATTTACTTTCACAATAAACAGAGAGTGGGCGAACATATGCCCCTGACACAGAGATGACTGAAACTGACTGAAAACCCTTCAACGGACAGTGAAGCAGGTACATCAGGTGGCTCCATAGCCCCTAACAACAACACTTCCCTTTTTCCAATACAGTGATCAGTGCTAAAAAAAAAGCACTGACACTGTACTAATGGCACGGGGCAGGAAGGGGTTAACAGGGATGATCAAAGGGTTAAGTGTGTGCTGGGTGTGTTTTACTATGTTGCGGTGTTTGTGTGCTCCACTGTACGCGCACTGCTAAAGCAGTGTGCCTGAGCTGACAGGGAGGAGCACTGTTAGTGAACAAATCAGTTCTCCTCCTCGTCGGAGATCCTTGGTAATCACCAGGTGTCGAGGAGTAATCACCGGTATTGACAGCTGCGGCCGCGAATGGCGGTGCGGGTAGGGAAATGCAAAATCACGTATATATACGTGATTTTGCGTACCCGCGCTGCCCTGTAGCCGTATTTGTGCTCTAGGGTGGTCGGGAAGCGGTTAAATGACATAATCCTGTGAGAAAATAAAGTGCTTAAATGAATAGTCCATAACAATAAAGTGCAAATCAATTGCTTGAATAGATCAGTCCATATATCATGTACAGTGGGGATCGAAAGTTTGGGCACCCCAGCTAAAAATTTGTATTAACGTGCATAAAGAAGCCAAGGAAAGATGGAAAAATCTCCAAAAGGCAGATTAGACATTGTTATAATATCTTATTCATTCTTATAATATGTCAACAAAAGTTAGATTTTATTTCCATCATTTACACTTTCAAAATAACAGAAAACAAAAAAATGGCGTCTGCAAAAGTTTGGGCACCCTGCAGAATTTATAGCATGCACTGCCCCCTTTGCAAAGCTGAGACCTGCCAGTGTCATGGATTGTTCTCAATCATCATCTGGGAAGACCAGGTGATGTCAATCTCAAAGGTTTTAAATGCCCAGACTCATCTGACCTTGCCCCAACAATCAGCACCATGGGTTCTTCTAAGCAGTTGTCTAGAAAACTGAAACTGAAAATAGTTGACGCTCACAAAGCTGGAGAAGGCTATAAGAAGATAGCAAAGCGTTTTCAGATGTCAATATCCTCTGTTCGGAATGTAATTAAGAAATGGCAGTCATCAGGAACAGTGGAAGTTAAAGCAAGATCTGGAAGACCAAGAAAAATATAAGACAGAACAGCTCGCAGGATTGTGAGAAAAACAATTCAAAACCCACGTTTGACTGCACGATCCCTCCAGAAAGATCTGGCAGACACTGGACTTGTGGTACACTATTCCACTATAAAGAGATACTTGTACAAAGATGGTCTTCATGGAAGAGTCATCAGAAGAAAACCTCTTCTACGTCCTCACCACAAAAATCATCGTTTGAACTTTGCAAATTAACATATAGACAAGCCTGATGCATTTTGGAAACAAGTTCTGTGGACTGATGAGGTTAAAATTGAACTTTTTGGCCAGAATGAGCAAAGGTACGTTTGGAAAAGAAGGGGCACAGAATTTAATGAAAAGAACCTCTGTCCAACTGTTAAGCATGGGGTTGGATCAATCATGCTTTGGGGTTGTGTTGCAGCCAGTGGCACAGGGAACATCTCACGAGTAGAAGGTAAAATGGATTCAATAAAATTTCAGCAAATTGTGGATGGTAACTTGATGCCATCTGTGAAAAAGCTGAAGTTAAAGAGTGGATGGCTTCTACAAATGGATAATGATCCTAAACACACCTCAAAATCCACAGGGGATTACATCAAGAGGCGTAAACTGAAGGTTTTGCCATGGCCTTCACAATCTCCTGACCTCAACATAATTGAAAATCTATAGATAGACCTTAAAAGAGCAGTGCGTGACAGACAGCCCAGAAATCTCAAAGAACTGGAAGACTTTTGTAAGGAAGAATGGGCAAAGATACATCAAACAAGAATTGAAAGACTCTTGGCTGGCTACAAAAAGCGTTTACAAGCTGTGATACTTGCCAAAGGGGGCAGTACAAGATATTAACTCTGCAGGGTGCCCAAACTTTTGCAGACGCCATTTTTTTTTTTCTGTTATTTTGAAAGTGTAAATGATGGAAATAAAATCTAACTTTTGTTGACATATTATAAGAATGTCTAATCTGTAATTTGATGCCTTTTGGAGATTTTTTCCATCTTTCCTTGGCTTCTTTATGCACATTAATACAAATTTTTAGCTGGGGTGCCCAAACTTTCGATCCCCACTGTATGTGACCAACACCAATGGTTCTAAAAGTGCTCGTGCTTAAAATCCACTTCGTGCAATCTTGTGCCACCTTAGTGCTGCCAGAACCACGGCGGTCACATGACCCTAAACCCCGCCCCGCCTCCCGGCTTTTGGAACCCTTAAAGGGCCGGGACATGCCGGCGCCAAGGGGTTAATAATAGCGTGTATACAAAATATCTCAGTCTCTCTCCTCCGCTCCTTATAGACACTCCATATCCCTCTTCTCCTTTTGAATCAATGCCCGGATGTATTAGAAGCACCCCTTCTACCTTAGATGAGCCATATCATCTCTTTTGTGTTGACATGGCTTCTATGTGGTCAGCAAGGTGGAAAGGGATTTTGCTTTTACAGATTCTTGCAGTGTGTCTCTGCATCTTAACATTGGATGATCTGTAGAGCTTTTAAGAGCATTTCCAGCAAGTGTTTCCAGTAGTGGACAAGGTTAATAGT